CCTGCCTCAGCAGGAAGAAGCGTTGGCCGGGCCCGGCTGGATTTGACGTTACGGTTGAAACCCGAGGGTCAGACCTATAAACTGCCGCTGCAGCTGGGTGTGTGGGGCAGCAACGGAGGCTGTGAGTGAGTGCACGCCGGGCTGATGCATTTGCACCAGTGATCTGCTTGGAGTGGGTGAAACACCTGTGCACTTTGCAGAGCTGCCCAGAGCAGAGCCAGCCACATTTGAAAGCAGCCAGCTCGCTCCCGGCTGCTCCGCCTCCCGGTGGAGTCGAGGAGCTGGGGCAGGCTATGGAGCAGGGCACCCAGGGCTTTCTGCCTAAGGCTCCAGCCCCATGCCGGGCACAGACTGAGAGACACGTGTTGGGTGTCAGCAGAAAGGGGGCTCCTTTGGAATCAGTCCTGGGCCGGGTGCTGTGCTGCTGGGGGTACTACCCACCTCTGCTCATCGACGCCCCCTGGGCTCATGCCACAAGAGCAGGGGAGCCTGGCTAGTTACCTTCTGCTACCTCGGATTCCCCTGGCAGCGGCATTTGGCACTGGGATTTTTCTTCTCTTCCTATCCTAAACTCTAGCTGTGCTTTTATCAGACCGCTGCCACATTCCACGCCAGAGGTGGCTGCCTGCCAGTAATGAGGGATGCATGCAGGGCTTGCTTATTTCACAGGGGAGCTGAAGATTAATTAGCTAATGCTTGTGAAAGGGCTTGGAAGGTGGATAAAGCTAAGTGTCATTTCGAGGGTGCGGTATTTTCAAACAGAGTGGTCCCTCCTTTCATTGGAGGATGCAGGGGCTGATGTGTGACTATCTCTGCACTCACCAGGAGATCCCCCTGCCAGGCTTCCTCTCCCAGCACCCACAACTGGCTCGCGCGCCTTCGACTGATCACAAGGGAGGTGGCTCATTCTGCGCTGAAGCTCTCAATAGCCTAGACCCAAATGTCACAAAAAAGGCACACACAACCCCCCCAGGCTGTGCGTCGTCTAATACATTATGGCACTTTGCTATCAAAGGCCACGTTCTCGGCTCCACCCAGCCTCCACTGAGGACAGCTGAGATGGGAGCTCTCTGATCCTGGGGCCTGGTCTGTGTCCAGGGGCTGCTCTAAAGTACACTGCCCCCTAAGGCCATCTACCAGCTGGGGATCGCTGGAGTACAGCATGCTGCAGTCAGGCCTGTCTGCCTGCCCCAGCTTGGCCTCTCTGCTTGCAGCTTCTGTGGAGGCTGGCGTGTAGGATCCAGCGATGCCACTTCTGGTCTCCCCTAGAGCTGCTGTCCAGCCTCTTTGCACCACTGAACCAGAGCAGAGGGGGCTGGGCTGCAGGCCAGAATCGGCATGGCTCTTAAGCTTTCGGGACCCAACTCTTCGCAGAGGCTAAGGAATGAATCCTCCACCCCCTTTGAGGCAGGAAACTGTGTCTCTATTTTTACAGAAGGGGGCCAGAGAGCTGAAGGCCCAGCTCCATAAAGTGACTTGTGACTTAAGAGCTCAGTGGTTTACGAACTCACTCAAGAGGTGGGAGACCTGCTGGTTCAAGTTCTCCCTCTGGCTGATCTTGAGAAGGGATGTGAGCTGGGATAATAGGCAGCAGGTTTAAAACAAATGAAGTATTTCTTCACACAAGACACAGTCAACCTGTGGAACTCCTTGCCAGAGGATGTTGTGAAGGCCAAGACCATAAATGGGTTCAAAAAAGAACTAGATAAATTCATGGAGGATAGGTCCATCAGAGGCTATTAACCAGGATGGATAGGAATGGTTTGCTAGAAGCTGGGAATGAGCGAGAGGGGATGGATCACTTGATGATTCCCTGTTCTGTTCATTCCCTCTGGAGCACCTGGCAGTGGCCATGGTCAGAAGACAGGATACTGGGCTAGATGGACCTTTGGTCTGACCGAGTAGGGTCATTCTTATGTTCTTATGGACCTACCACTCCTCAGGTGACTGCCCTCACCACTAGGCTGTAGAGTCATTCTCATTCCTTTCTGCCTAAATTAATATTTAATCATTACAGTGGAACAACTGTGTACATCCCATAGTCCGCTGGTCGGGACGCTCACTGGAGGAGGTAGATTCCTGTTAGAATCCTTTCTCCAGTGGGATCAGGTTTGCCATCCTTTCCAGTCCAGGGAATGGCTAATCTGGCATTTCTGACAATGTGGCCTAGTGGATAGAGCACTGGACTGGGACTCAGGAGACCTGGGTCTTTTCATGGCTCTTCTGCTGAGTGACCATGGGCAAGTCACTGCCCCTCTCTTGCCTCGGTTTCCCTATCTGTAAAATAAGGGTAATGCTACTTGTGCCCTTTGAGACCTATGGCTGAATGGAGCTAAGTCCTCTCATTTGTGTGTGTGTGTGTGCGCGTGTGTAATGTCGCTTCAGGACAATGCCTGAGCGATCAAATAGCTTGTAACATCAGACCCACCAAGTCTTACTGACCTGGCTTTAATTTTAAGGCAGCATTTAAAGTACTGGACTCCTTGGTATGTTTTGCTGTTTTGGTGACATTTAAAATCTTGCCCACCGTTTCCTGCAATCTCCCTTGATCGGATTGTCACGTCTTTCGCCCCGAGGGCTTGTTGGACAAACTGTTTTCTCAAAGCCTGGTAGATTTCATTCTTTTTCCCTCTGATCAGATTCCCCAGCAAGAAGCTTACAAAGAAGAGTAGCCCTCAGGGCACTGGCAATTTCACCAGCCTGACTCCGGGCTTCACCACTGGTGGTGTGCTCTGTGAAGCCAGCCCTTTGATTGTCCTGCCAAGAGGTCCTAAAAGCTCTCCTGGGACATGTTCACACCTTCCTCACCATTGTGCCTCCAGCCCTGGGGCAGCTCCCCTGCCCTGGAGCTAGCTAGAGCCAACGTGTGTGCTGGGGGCCGGAGACGGCTGGAAATTGCTCCCCTGGAGAGCCTGCAAGCCGGTCATCACACTTGAATGGAACGATGGGGAGCCCACCATAATCCTGCCCTCCTAATGCTCCGTATCCAGGAGCCGCGGGTACGCTGTAAGGCTCGGTCTATGCTGGAGCTGGGTGGGTGTAAGGCAGCTTATGTCGAACTAACCCTGTCAGTGTTGATGCTACAGCCTTGCTCCCGCCAATGTAATAACTCCGCCTCCCCCAGAGGCGTGGGGCTTCTGTCGGTGTAGTTAGGGCCAGGCAGTGTGCCCTAGACACTTACTTACATGGGCTGTTGGCTAAAATTCTTGTCAATTTCACAGCCGTGAAATTGACAAGAAAGGCTGGTAGGTCCCTGCGCCTGGCTCCCAGCTCTGGCTGTCACCCCTGAGGGGGATGGAGGGGGGGGCTCCAGCTAGAGCCTGGCTACCTGCTGGGAACCATGCTACTTCCTGGCTCCCATTTCCTAGCCGGGCTGCTGCCTGGGCTCCCCACTCCAAGCCGGGGCTCCCAGCTCCCCACAGAGCTCCCAGAGAGTGGGGCTGCTCTGCAGAGACCCTGGCAGTGTGAAGTTGGCAAGAATGTCAATTTCACCGCTGGCAGGCTCTGTGCTGTGAAACTGAGCTTTTGCGGGGGGTGGGGAGGGGTCACAGCTGGGGCTGTCACTTGGGTGTGGATGGGGGCTCCAGCCGTGAGCCCCGTATGACTTGTCAGTGCCCCACACTCAGCTGTCAGTGCCCCACAAAGCCCCACTTTAGTAGGTACAAGCACTCCAGGTGAGGACGCACTCCAGCGGCAGGAGGAGGGGAGTGTGGACCCCAGCAGCCGATTGAATTACCATGGTGTAGACAAGCCCTGAGGCTTTGCCCTGTTTTCACAGCTGGTGGCAAGGTGGACTTTGAAACCGCACCGACATGGTTAATGCTTGGTTAGTCGCCAGGGGAGCAAAACACCTGCTGTCCTGCTGGCAGCCTGGGCTAGAGCATATGGTTCTGTTTGTTTGTTTTCCTCCCCCGCACGGTGTATCCAAGTTTGACCAGGTATTTGTCTGAGACCTGAATTGCACCTTCCTCCCATCTGGGTGCAGCACAGTGCCCTGTGTGTGTCCTCCAGGCATGCTGTGCCCTGCTAAGACGCTATGGGATAACTACCGGGGATTCCCCAGCACACATCGATAACAGCATGGCCTGCTGGGACACACCTCTGTTGAGTCATGCTTGCGTTGTGGAAGGAGCCGCTGTGTGAACACAACTAACCCGCTGGTTACAAAATGTGGCGGTCCTTAGTGGTGATGGGCTGTTCGCCAAGGATCCCCAAGTGCTCCACAAAGATTTAAACCTCACCACGACCCTGTGAGGTGCGTTGCTGTTAACCCCCGTCTGCAAATGGGGGAGCCAAGGTCCAGTCCGACTCGGGTTGAAATTCTCAGAAGTGGCCTCTGATTTTGGGTCCCTCCATTTTTGGGGCACCCACCATGGAACAGCTGGTCCCTGGCTTCCAAATGTGCTGAGTCGCCCTGTCACCCACTGATTTCCCCTAGAGCTGTGGGTGCTCAGAGCCTCTGAAAAGCCGAGTGTCCCAAGCTCTATGGGGCAGGAACTGTCTCTTTGTTTGTGCAGGCCAATGGATCCTGGTCTTGTAGGCACGACACGAATACAATTAACAAATAACAATAAGTCGGGCACCCGACATTTAGTGTCCTGCAGAGATTCCTGAACAGAGCTGGGAACAGAACCCAGGAATCCTGACTCCCGGTCCCCTGCTTCGCCTACGCATGGTGTGGACGCTTTCCAGGAGGCATGACCCATACGCGGGCCTAGTCACATTTCATTACAGCCGTGCGCCGGCCCCTTGAGGTTCACAATAATAGAATGTAGAGATGGAAGAAGACCCGTAGGCCTGGTCACCCCGTTTTGCAGGTGGATAAATTGCTTGTTAAGCCGCCGGCGGCAGGCTCCTTCTAGAACTGGCAGAGCTGGGGGTTCTTTCATGTCTGACCTCTCCCCCAGATTTCAGAGAAGGGGTTCTGATGAATGGGTCCCCCCTCTCCCGCACACGATGTTCGTGATCCCCATGCCCTGGATCTCTTTGCTTCCTTGCAGATACCAAACTGTTGGAAAAGTCCAGCTTGCTGGTGCATTTCACAGAGAAGCTACAGGCTGAGTCCTTTGATCTCCAGGCCCCTAGGTAAGTAGAACGGATCTGACTTCTTCCTCCTCAGGCATGGAGGAGGGCGTGACACTTCCCAGAGCCAGCAGCACTGGGTTATATCCCCTCTGGCCCTACAATGGCTGCACTGTTATCTTTGGAAGTTGATAGGCAAGCGTAGCTGGCCCTTTCCCTGGTCCCTCGCAGCACCGAATGCCTCTGACTAGTGGTGGCAGTCCGTGCCCTGGGAAGGGGGAGGCTTTCACAATCAGACCTTTCTTCCTTTCCAACAAAAATCCACTGAGTCAGCCAGGCACCGGTTCCTGGCTCCCCAGCTGAGTAGGAGTGGGAAGTGGCTCAGGATGGATGGAGACAGGCTTTCTTCTCTGTCGGTGCTGAGCCGCTGCTGTTGTCTTTCAGAGGAGACGCCAGTAACGTAAGTGATCTGAACCATAGAGTCCAAGTGACTTTTTTGCAAGAGTAAAGGGAGGTTAAGCCTGGGGGCTAGGCCAGATTGCATTGTGGGTAATTACGTTCTGCCTTCCTAGAGCCCCTGTGCAGCTTCAGTTTGATAGTGTTTTGCTTCTTCACCTCCTGCCCCAAACTGCTGTGAGTTTAACAGCTGCAATGTTCCCCCCCAGAATTAGCTGCACTGCAAGAGGTGAACAAAGCAATCCTTCTGCATGCGTGTATCTTTTGCTCTCTCGCCCCACAAAAAACTGCCAGCCACATTCTGCCGTGCTTATTCCAGCCGACAGTGGGTCAGGGCGCAGGATCTGGTCTGATCCGGCAATGGTAACGTTGCATAGCTAACCTTTAACAGCAGTTACGTTACGCAAAGATAAAAATAACTTGACCACATTGCATGGGGGCATTGCTGCTTTCCTGGGTAGGGAGCAGCTTGTTGGACTTGCCTCAGTTAAATGCACCACAAAATCTGCAGCATGTGTGACATAGCAGCATTGACGTTGCAGCAGGAGCTCTTGGCTTTTGCACTTGCTGACTTTGACGGCAAAACGGGTATTTTTAGTGTTACATTAAGAGCGACCTCTGCATTTAATAGCCTGGCTAAAGTAACGGAGAAGCCAATCGTCGTGTTTGTTTCATTAGGCCCTCGGCTTCACGCCTCACTGAGGGCAGCGGGGGCAGGAGAGAGCATCTTTGCTAGAGGCAGTTTGGCTTAACAGAGCAGAAACACCTGTGTTTACAGTATGATTTTCTGCTGCAAAAAAGCAGAAGCTGGGCTGTTTTCAAATGAAAGCTGCGGATGTACTGAAGTTCAGGCTCTGTTTTTTTTTGTTTTTTTTTAAATGCACGAAGCAAAACAATTCATTGCACCTTTGCCGTCTCTTTCTTGCACGCTGCCCCAGCGGGATTGCCCCTCTGCCTCAGGAATTTGGCCTCTGCTCCTGGGGAAGGCAGATCTTCATTAAACTCCGCTGCAAACTCAGCAGCTGCATGCTCAGAAGTGACTTTGGGGTTTTTTTAACCTGCCCTGTCTGTAGGTCAGGGCGGGAAACCAAGGGCTGCGTGCTGGAACCAGGCTTGGGCCCCACGGAAGCGCTGCAGACCCTGAAGATAAAGTACCAGGGGCAAATTGCGGAGATGAAAGACGTCAGTGGGGAGGTACGTAGGGGGGGAGGGAAGGTCCCAAGGGTCAGCTCTTGTGGCCCTGGATTGTCATTTGCCCTGTTTTCTTAGCCCCTGCATGTGGGGGGAGTAGCCTGTGCCCACCGGTGCCAGGGGAGGGGTGCCCAGTTCCATAAGGTTTGGGGGGTACGGACCATGTTGGCAGTTGAGGAAACTTCCTCTCCCTGCAGCAGTCAGGCTGTCTTGGCTGCCTGGACCCAGGGCAGTGGGGTCGGGAGGGGTGTGGAAAGAGGCAGCCGTGAATTACGGCCCCCTGCTGATTTCAGCCCTTGAGCGTGGCCCCGTCTGCTTTCCCTGCGCAGGGCCGGTCTGGCAGGGCAAGTGGACAGGGCTGTGTGCCCTGGAGCTGCACTGAAGGGCCAGGGTCCGGAGGGGGCTCTCTTTGGCGGGGACAGGGGAGGGGTGTCAGTACTCCCAGGGTGTAGCCCACCTGCTCGCAGAGTCTCTGCCAACATCCCCAGCCGAGGTGTGTGACTGCTGGTTGGTGGCTGCTGCAGCAGTGGGAGAGGGAGGTGGGCAGGGAGCCTGTTTCTGGCAGCCGAGGCCGCCTGGACAGAGCCCTTTCCTTGTCCCCTGCCAGACAGAGTCCCCTCCTGACTCCAGCCTTTCAGTGTGGCCCCATCATCTCTTCGTGCCCCCCCCGATAACCTTACTGCACCCACCCTCATTTGGGAGCCTCTGCGCCATAGGTACAGGGGTTCGGTAAATCATAGGCCTGATTCTGCATTACTACACTGTGAAATTTTACAAACTTCTGATCATTGGAAGGTAAGGACATCACAGCGCTGGCTTTGCTTGATGAGAACATTTTAAAAATGTTGAAGTCTGGGAGAAAAGGTGTCTGTTTAAATAAGAGACGACCCTTGTAATACGGGACTGTTGCCAACCCGATGGCTAGGTACTGCCACTAGTAAGTGTGGACTTTGCACTTGCAAAGAAGGCAGGGCGTGGTATTGCAGAGCACTCAGCATTGCCGGATTTAGCTATAGGCAGCAGATTTCAAACAAACGAAAGGAAGAATTTTTTCACACAACGCGCAGTCAACCTGTGGAACTCCTTGCTAGAGGATTTATGTGAAGGCCAAGACACTATCAAGGTTCAAAAAAGAACTCGATAAATTCTTGGAGGATAGGTCCATCAATGGCTATTAGCCAGGATGGGCAGGGATGGTGTCCCTGGCCGCTGTTTGCCAGAAGCTGGGAATGGACGACAGGGGATGGATCAATTGACGATTACCTGTTCTGTTCATGCCCTCTGGGGCACCTGGCATTGGCCTCTGTCAGAAGACAGGATACTGGGTTAGATGGATCTTTGGTCTGACCCAGTGTGGCCGGTTTTATGTACTGTAGGTCTATAGACAGTACCATTATGGAGGCTGTAGGTTAGAGAGCAACTGGGGAACCTGTCTGCAATTCTGGCATCTGGAAAATCACTCTCTGTATCTACAAGCAGCTCCCAGACCTTTTAGTTTGTTCCTGTAGCTTGGAAATGGCTTGTGAATAGGAAGAGCATGCTGAATACTATAGGAAATGGTGTTGTAGCTGGGTCAGTTACAGGATGTTAGAGAGACATGGTGGGGGAGGCAATATCTTCTGTTGGATCAACTCCTGTTGGTCAGAGAGGCAAGAAGTTGGTCCACTAAAAGATAGTCTGAGTGTTGGCATGCAAGTGAGCAACAAAAAAACCCAACCTGTCATCATTCTTGTATCCCACTTCACACACCAATATCTCAGGTGGAGTCCGGTTTATGACTCACACCAGTTCTGCCTCGTGTGCTCCACAGCCCTTGAGAAAGCTACGTCCACATATGTGCATTTCTCTTTGGAAGATCACCTGGCCTTTGAAATCTCTCTCTCGTTTGCAGTTGGCGTATCGAATTATTGAACTGAGCAAATTACTCAAGGCCAAAGAGTGTAAACTGCAGGAGCAGAAAACCAGGTAAGAATGCCCCCTAATCTCCTGGGTGCACCTGATTTAACACTGCTTCCTTCCAGGGCGCTTATCCTTGGGGCTTATTTTATACAGACACCTGTTTATTTAACCAGCATGAGGGGGCAGGTCTACTCTGCAAAACTGGCCCCTCCTTCCCCTACAGACCTCCTCCTGTGTTGGAATCACAATCTGAGGAGCCAACTTTAATGGCAGTAAACGTTTACTACTCTTCACTCCTACTAGCCCTGCAGAGATCACCCAGCAAGCTGGGCGTGTGGCAGAGAAACCTGTACAGTGCATGCCTCGCTCTAGTCAGTTACCCCATTTCCAGCCTACGTTGTGTGTTTTCCCCCTCCGCCTGATCCACAGAGGATATGAGTCTGCTACAGCTCCCAGCTAAGGGACTTAAGCCTTTAGCTCAAGCTGGCGAGGCACGTGCTCTCAACTCTGGAGGCCCTGGGTTCAATCCCTGGTGGTGATCAAGATGGCAGTTGCTCCAGTTTGGGAGCTCACTTTCAGGAGTGCTGATAAAGTTTGGGGTGCAAGTCGGGGGGAGCCCATTCCCTAGAGGGCTGTCTCTTGGTTTGGCTCAGGCTGGCGTCCCTGAGCGGACGGATCTCTGAGCTGGAAGCAGAGCAGCAACAGCTGAAGGGCCAGGCGAAGGATCTGGGCAGCGGGAACTGTGCCATGAAGGCGGAATACGACGCCCTTCGTGAGCGTTACCAGCTCCGGGAGGGGGAGCTGCGGCGAGCGGCCGAGAAGGAGCAGGAGCTGATTGAGAGCCTGGTGCGGAAGAGAGTGGAAGCTGCCGAGCACCAGAACAAGAAGAACGAGAGGTTGGTTAAGGGTCTGTCGCTGCCCAGCGTATGAGAGAGTCTCGCCTGGGCTGGTGGGGGGCACAGGGCATGCAGACCCTGGGCACTGCGGAGGAGACCCGGTGGGGGATGCTGCTGCAGGGTCCTAGGGCAGGAGGGAGTTTTGCCCAGCCCTCCTCCATGGGAAAGCTGGACCCTGCAGTGCAGAGGATGGGAGCAAGGAAGGCAATATGCAAGGCTCTGCTCACACTCCCTGCGGCTCTGCCTGCCCCCATTGGAGTGAGGGGTTGTGTCAGTGTGCTGGAGCAGGGAACTCGCTTGCTGAGGCCAGTGGGAGCCCTTGGGTGGGATTTTGCAGCCAATCCAAAGGCCAGGGGATGAGGTTATCAGTGGGCCATGGGCATGCCGTGTGCTGGCTGTCTAGCGAGGGTGATGGGGCCAAACAAGCACCTTAGTATCTGAGTGACTCTCAGTCTTTAATGGCCTTATCCGTCCAGCCCCCTTGTGAGGCAGGTCTGGGCCGTGCTTCCTGCTGTACGGATGGGGGCACTGAGGCACAGAGCAGTTAAGGGACTGGCCCAAGGTCACATATGCAGTCTGTGGCAGAGGAAGGCCTTGAACTGAAGGTTCGCATGTCCCAGGCCAGTGCCCTAACCACTGGGCGATCCTGCTTCTTGAGTCTGGCTCCTTCTGCTGAAGGAAATGGACCTGTTCCGTTGCCCTCTGCTTGAGCTTGCTTCTGGCCGGCCACCAGCTATGTTGCTTCCCTGTGAGGAAGACATAAGCCATAATTATATCGCCAGCCAAGGGAGGTCTCTAGCTCACACAGCAGAGCGCTGCGAGACACAGTCAACCTGTGCAACTCGGTGCCAGGGGGTGGGATGAAGGCCAAAACTAGAACTGGGTTCGAAAAGGAGCAAGATGAGTTCACGGAGGGTAGGCCCACCAATGGCTCTTAGTAGGGCTGTCGATTAATCGCAGTTAATTCATGCGATTAACTCAAAAAAATTAATCGTGATTAATCACAGTTTTAATCACACCAGATAATGGAATACCAATTGAAATGTAGTAAATATTTTGGATGTTTTTCTACATTTTCATATATATTGTATTCTGTGTTGTAATTGAAATCAAACTGTATATTATTTTTTATTATAAATATTTTCATTGTAAAATGATAAACAAAATAAATAGTATTTTTCAATTCATCTCCTGCAAGTACTGTCGTGCAATCCCTTTGTTTCGAAAGTGCGACTTACAAATGTAGTTTTTGTGGTTACATAACTGCACTCGAAAACAAAACAATGTAAAACTTCAGAGCTTGCAAGTCCACTCAGTCCTACTTCTTGTTCAGCCAATCGTTAAGACAAACACGTTGTTTACATTTACAGGAGATAATGCTGCCCACTTCTTACTTACAATGTCACCAGAAAGTGAGAACAGGCATTTGCATGGCACTTTTGTAGCTGGCATTGCAAGGTATTTGCATGCCAGATAACACTAAACGTTCTTATGCCCCTTCATGCTTCGGCCACCATTCCAGAGGACATGCTTCCATGCTGATGGCACTTGTTAAAAAAATGAGTTAATTAAATTTGTGACTGAACTCCTTGGGAGAGAATTGTATGTCCCCTGCTCGGTTTTACCCGCATTCTGTATATATTTCATGTTGTAGCAGTCTCGGATGATGACCCACCACATGTTGTTCGTTTTAAGAACACTTTCACTGCAGATTTGACAAAACGCAAAGAAGGTACCAATGTGAGATTTCTAAAGATAGCGACCCAAGGTTTAAGAATCTGAAGTGCCTTCCAAAATCTGAGAGGGATGAGGTGTGGCGCATGCTTTCAGAAGTCTTAAAAGTCTTAAATAACTCTGATGCGGAAACTACGGAACCCGAACCACCAAAAAAGAATCAGCCTTCTGCTGGTGGCATCTGACTCAGATGATGAAAATGAACATGCGTTGATCCGCACTGCTTTGGATCGTTATCGAGCAGAACCCAGCATCAGCATGGACGCATGTCCCCTGGAATGGTGTTTGAAGCATCAAGGGACATATGAATCTTTAATGCGTCTAGCACGTAAATATCTTGCGACGCTGGCTACAACAGTGCCATGAGAACACCTGTTCTCACTTTCAGGTGACATTGTAAACAAGAAGCAGGCAGCGTTATCTCCTGCAAATGTAAACAAACTTGTTTGTCTGAGCAATTGGCTGACCAAGAAGTAGGTCTGAGTGGACTTGCAGACTCTAAAATTTTACGTTGTTTTATTTTTGAATGCAGGGTTTTTGTACATAATTCTACTTTTGTAAGTTCAACTTTCATGATAAAGAGATTGCACTATAGGACTTGTATGAGGTGAATCGAAAAATACTATTTCTTTTGGTTTTTTTACAGTGCAAATACTTGTAATAAAAAATAAAGTGAGCACTGTACACTTTGTATTCTGTGTTGTAATTGAAGTCAATATATTTGAGAATATAGAAAACATCCACAAATATTTAAATCACTGGTATTCTATTATTGTTTAACAGTGAGACTAATTTTGTTTAATTGCACAACAGCCCTAGCTATTAGCCAAGGTGGTCAGGATGCAACCCCACAGCCTGGGTGTCCCTCGCCTCTGAGTGCCGGAAGTTGAGAATGGGTAACGGGATGGATCACTTACTGATGACCTGTTCTGTTTATTCCCTCTGGGGCACCTGGCATTGGCCACTGTCAGAAGACAGGATGCTGGGCTAGATGGACCATTGGTCTGATCCAGTCTGGCCGTTCTTAGTTTTGGAGCTGCCAGCTGTAGATTGGATGCAGATGTCCTTACCCCTGTGTCCTCCCGCCCTGCTCCCGGTAAGGGCTAAGAGTGCCTGGCTCTGCTCCCACCTTTGCTAGGCCTAATGCAGTTGCCCGAGAGCGAGGCCCAGGCAAAGGGGACATGCAGCTGGGAAGGAGCCGCATGGGTACATCCCAACGCCCTCTGCTTGTCCTGTCTGTCCTTGTAGGATGAAGCAGGCCCAGCTGTCCCGGGAGCTGAAGAAGGCGACAAAGAGAACCGTCTGTATCAACGTGTAAGTAGCTGGGACCCCGGGGCGCTGATGAGGCGGTGAGACAGACCCCGGGGGGGGGGGGCGGTCATGCAAAGGGAACATGGTATGTCCCAAGAGAAGTCATTTGAGGCCCATCCCAGGAGTGACCACCCGGGTCAAGCCTGGCAAGAGGCCAGAGATGCTGGAAATGGCTGGGTTAGTGCTGAAAAGCAACAAGTCTCAGCCTGCGGGCATCGACCTCCGAAAGGCTCCCCAGCAGCCATCTTTTCCCTGGGCGCGGTTCGCAGCCAGCGCCCGGCCCTGCCTCCAGCTGGAGTGCATCCGCTCCTTAGCTGCTTGCGGCTGGTCCTCCTGAGCGCCTCTCCTGACCCCACCTCCCAGGACGCTGTGGAGGAATCGAGGAGGCTTCTGGGTTCCATCCTCGCAGGCGGAGAAAAGCTCCTTAGCACGGAGCAGGCTGGGCCCTGCTGGCGGCGTGTGCTCCGTGACGCCGCGGTCAGTCCTGGTGCCGATCGACCTGGCTCGACTCTCTGGGCGTCTCCACCTGAAGACATGGCACGACAGCAGCGTACACGCTCCCTGTAGCGGCGGGAGGAGTTCCCTCGCTCTGCTGTGAGGAGGTGGATTTTTCACACCCTGAGCGGTGTTGCCGTGCCGGTGTAGGTTCCCGGCGTAGACCAGCCCTCGGCAACATCAGTGGCCTTCTGGAGCTTAGAAACAAGCTGGCCAGCCGCTCTTGCTTGTGAGTATCCACAGCTCAACGGAAACACTTTAAAAATGATCGTGCATCCAGCCAAAAAGCTCTTGTTCTCTGGCCACGGACGTGATCTGATTTTGGCACGTGGGGGGAACTCTACCAATGAAGCCTGAAGCTCATGACCCCCAGCCTAGCGAGGCTGTGATTGGCCCATGACTGGGCATTCCTTCGTTTGTCTGCACCTCTCATCTCCATGGCATGTGTGATAATTGGTCTCCGGACGGTTGTGTGGTCGAATTCCAGGTCTCCTGACAAAATAATAGAAATCAGAAGTGGAAAAACACTATAAGCTCTTCTAGTCCCTATGCCCTGGCCAGCATTTTTACCTGTAGAGGGTTGTGATGGTCCTTGGGGTACCCAGGACGGAGAAGTGGAGAAAAGGGGTAACAAGGCGACTCTCAAGCGCTCTCCTCTGGGCTAGGCCAGCCCTGCTCCTGCATGCAGGTTAAGAATAGATGAGTCCTCTTGAAGCATTCCCCTGCGATGGCCAGCCCCTGACACTGGCTACTTCCCGAAATCCCAGATCCTCTACCCCAAAGGTGCAGCGTCCCCCCACCCTGCCATTTACTAGTTTTACCTTAAATCACCGCTCCTGTATAACACCCAGCCCTTGTAATAAAACCCAAGAAGGGTTGTTTAAGAAAGGACAGCGGTTCAGCTGGAAACAACAAAATCCTAGAGCACGACCTGGTCCCTATGCTTCTTAATAGTTCCCGTTCTTATCAGGTCAAGTTGTTTTCCTCCAAAGTTCAGTCTATTGCAGAGCTGGCTGGTTTCCCAGGAACCAGGGTCCAAGCTTTCAGCGAACACACCGCTCTACAAGACAGCTCCCTGGGAACGGGTGCAGAGGGCCTCTCCCCCCTCTGTGTTGCACAGAATCGGTCTGTTGTCTTTATTCAATGGCAGGGTGAGCCCCCGTCTGTTGTAGCGTTCCTGTTTACCGCCGAGTGGGTTTGATTGTTTGCGGTTGTCGCTGATGCTTTCCCGTTGACTGTTCTGGGATGGGGCACTGGTACACAACTGAGCCTCATGTGACGTCACCCGCTGGCTACGGGAGGGGTGGCCATTGCCAAGTAATATTACTGCCTGGTGACTCCTTTTTAGCTTGAGACCATAAGGGCATTAAACTTCAATATAGTCCCAATATCGCTTACATAACACCCTTACACACATCTTGCCACGATCATGCATATGGGGAAGTCACGAGCTTTGCGTCCGATGAAGTGAGCTGTAGCTCACGAAAGCTCATGCTCAAATAAATTGGTTAGTCTCTACGGTGCCACAAGTCCTCCTGTTCTTTTTGCGGATACAGACTAAGCCGATTGCTACTCTGAAAGCTTTTGATAGAGACCTTACACGTTACCCTTTATGGGTAAATACCCTGCAAGCAATGTATTTGGTGTAGTGAGTCTGCCAGGCCTGAGACGGGAGTTTGCCAAGGGGCCTTTGTGTCACAGTGGTAAACAGCACTTTAACCAGTACAGCTGTGTGTTTACTGGTAGCCTGTATGCTAGGGGTACTTTGCCGGTATAGCACCCTGGCATTCCTATGCCAGTGGTACCACCCATGGCCCGGGTGTGGGCACAGTTCTGTCGGTATGAAGGTTATGCCCCGTTGTCCCAGGCTAACTGCCTTTGCACCGGGGTAGAGCCACTTAAACAGCAGCAGGTTCTAAACAGAGCTAGCTGAGGGGGTACAAAACCCACCTGCAGATGAGCCTTACCCAGCCCCCCAGGCTAACGTGCTGCTTTGTTCTCCCCACAGGGAATTGGACGAGGTGAAGCCGAAGCCGGAAGAGGTGAAAGTGCCCATCCAAGACCTGGTGGAACTGGAGGGCTGCGAGAAGCTGTGGAAAAGGCCCTTCAGGTAGGAGGCTGCTGCAGGGTCGTGGCAGAGGGAGAGACACACACACACACAGAGAGACACACAAGGAGTTAGCAGTGACTGGCATGTGGATGAGCCTGAAGGGGGAGCTATAAAAGCTCTAGGCTGGGGGGGAAGAAAGGATAATTGATTTCCTTACTGGTGCCCGGGCTCTGGGCATTTAACAACGCTCAGAGATACAGTGGGATCTGAGGGAGGTTCCTGGCCTGGTTTGTAAGGCCCAGAAGTGTCTGTATAGCAGCCAGTGAGAGACTGTCTGATCATCCTGCTGAAGCAGCCCCAGGACTCATCCAGGCCTCAAAGAGATAAGGTCAAAGTTACGTGGGGGACAAGGGGAAGGGCAGCTCCCGCTGTGCAGTATTTGCGAGAGAGGAGACCCACCCTTCCCACTCCTCCTCAGCCTGCAGTGAAGGGACTAACCTGGGCAGGATGACCCCCCGCGCAGCGGTGGAGAGGAAGGCGGAGAAAAGTCCGTGATCGCTTACAAAGAAAACGATCCCGTGGCTTGCGTAGTCTTGCCCTGCACGTGTCTGCGGTTCTGATGTGCAGATTCAACGACTGCCGGCCCACCGGGCTCCGACCAGGTGGCGACGCGGCTGTGTGACTCGACTCCCTCACCTTTCCTGTTTGATTGCTCCCCGGTTCCACCGTTGTTTACTTTTAAGCACTAGAGATGGGTGAAACGCCCAGCTCAAACAAGAGCCGGCCTGAGCCTCCGCCCCCCCCAAGCCCCCGTCAAACCTGAGCCACGCTGGAAGATTCCAAATTTTAATTGATTCTTTTTCTTCTGAAATTTGGCTGCTGCTTTTCAGGCAGCTCCTCTGAGAACGCATTGGTCAGTGCTCAGCACAAGAAGCCCGTTCTATCCGTTGCCCCAGCACCTTGCAGGCTCACAGCCTTTGCAAGGGAGGTTGGTTAGACCATGGGACTGGACCCAGGAGTTCTGGTCCTGGCTTTGGCACTGACTTGCTCAGTGACCTTAGGCAAGTCCCTTTGCTGCACGCTGCCTCAGTTTCCCCTTCTGTACAACGGGGGACAGTGATGCTTATAGGAAGTTCTAGCCTTGCAAGGGAACAAGGAGTGTGGGTAACCTCATGGGAGAGTCTGTTCTCCGGAGATTTCCAGCCTGAGAGGTCCGGCTTCGGTTGGGCGTGGAAAAGCATCCACATGGCCTGGATTCTGCCTCCCAACTGCTAGAGGATCACTCATCACTAGTGCAAAAACCAGGCCCTTCCAGCTCGCTGCCCCATCAGGAACACCCCTCCCTCTCCGGCTTCTCTCCGGCACCCCGGTCATCTCCCATGGCATGTTTGGCTAGTTTTGAGGAAGAGACATGCTGAGCTGTGTGGAAAATACAGGAGTATTCCCACGGTCTGGGAAGGAGCCCAGCAGTGCCGTGTGCTGGGCTGTGAAACAAGGTCACCGAGCCATAGGGATTACAGATGGACAGTGCCTCCTGGGTCCCACCTAATCCATCTGCTTCAGCTAAGATTGGATCATCCACTGTGGTGTATTTTCTACCTAGACATGTAAACCCAGGCTCTGCCCCAGTGCAGGGGAAAGTCCAGCCTTGGTTCCTCCCAAGGGAGGAGGGACAGTGGCCAAGCGGGCCAGTCCCATCTCTGGTTCCTATGGGTTGCCCTTGGGTTCCTGCGGGCCCTGTTAGTAGCCGTAGGCAGGATGGCCAAGACAGGGTGAGTAAGGGGCGAAAGAGCAGAGCAGATGGAAGCCCTCGTGCTGGGATTCTTCACTCTGTGTTATCCCAAGGGAGAAACGCAAGACACAGGCACCGTAGGACTGGCCCGACTGGCTCAGCCCCAGGATCCGTCCAGCCCGTGGCCAGCGCCAGCTTGTTCAGGGGAAGGTGTGAGGTGAGACCCCCCCCCCACCCACAGCAGCAGATGGGGGATAAACGGCCCCTACCCTGATCCCTAACTGTGGTTGGCTTAGGCTCTGACTCAAGCAATGGCCCGTGATGATTCTTTAGCCCCCGAGCCCTGCGGATGCGTGGCACCATCTGGGCTGGTGTTCGCTGCAGGAGCAAAACTCAGGCACCCAGCTCCCGCCCTCGCTTAGTGATCGCTGGATTGGGCTCCCCAGCTGTAGACCCCCGTGGGTGCATTGCCCATGCCACGCCGCAGCCCCAGGTGCCACTAGGCACTTCATTTCTCCCCCCTGCCCCGGTTCCTGGCCCACGGGTGGGATATTGACCGGAATACAGGACAGGATTGAGGTGAGGCCCCCAGCAGGCAGTGGTGGGGAGGAGGTTGAGCATAACTGGGTCCCGACTCCCAGAGAGCCGAAACTTGCTCCTGTGTGGCTCCTGTGTGGCCAAAGGGCAGAGACCGAGACACTAGAGGTGAACTCCTGGCCACATCGAGATCAATGACAAAACTCCCATCGATTTCATTGGGTCCCAGCTGTCACCCCAGGTGGGTAGGTGAAGGTTTGCCATCCCCTTGCTGCCACTGGCCCGAGCGCAGCTTGAGCCAAATTCTTCCCCCTGACCTGGCCTGTGGCCCATGGCCAGGTGGGAGAAGGGGACGTTGTCCAGAGGGCTGGGTGAGCCGTGACCCGAAGAACAGCCCCGTCCCGTTCCCAACTGCCTTTTGCTCATCTGTTGCCTCCTTTTCTGTTTGGCTTTCGCTGTAGATCCGCCTCCGCCACGTCCATGACTCTGGCCCGGTGCGTGGATGTCTTCAAGGGGCTGCTGGAGTAAGTTTGCTGCCGTGTGTCCTGCATCGCCTGGGACCCGGGATTTAATGCACTTCCCAAAGGTCTGGGTAACATCGATTGAATGGTGGGTCTAAGGGGCCCTCATTCCCCTCCCACCCTGCCCTCTGTTCACCGGGCTGCTGGCGTACCGGCTTGATCTCTCGTCGTTCAGACGGGACAAGGCTCAGCTGGGCTGGCATCAGGCCCCATGTTCTCCAGGGGCCGTTTGCTTGTTTTGTGACCTGGGCCCGCTCTCACTAGTTTCAGGCTGAAACGAGGGAATTCCATCAGCAGCGGATCAGAGGTGTGCTACCGCTCCATGCCCATCTGCCTCGTCACCTGCCTGCCGTCCCGAGTCAGCGACGTCCAGGTAAAAGCTCGGAGACACCGGGGATGTGGTGGATGGGCAAACCGATCAGCGTCTCCCTCCTCCTCCCGTGAGCCCGCCACGCTCCCGGGCTCTTGCTCACTTGCTTTGCTCCCCCTGGCAAACGTCTCGTCTCCAGGTAGCTGGTCCACCCACTCCAGCCCTGTTCTCTGCACCAGCTGCGGCCAAGGGCGCTCTGGAAGGAGATCAGCCACTGCCCTGGCCCAGGAGGCTGTCCACCCGGCTCCGGAGGGAGGCTCTCCACTTCCAGACAGCACCCAGCTGCTCTGTTTTATTCTGTTCTCCGTCACTTCCTGTAGCATCCTTATCACCATAGTATCTGAGCATCTGCCACTCGTGCGTTCGGTAACCAGACCAACGTCTGTCACGTGTGTTCTCTCATCCCTCCAGGGGGAGAAGGGCGTGCAGGGCAGCGAGGGGCTGGGTTTGGTAGGGTTTTAGGGGGTAGTTTTTGTAATACACATCTTGCTCTGTTTTTTTGTCTGGGGAGCATGAGACTTGGAGCGGAAAGTGGAGGGTTTGGGATGGTCCGTAGTTCCTGGGGGAGTTTGTTCCAGCCCCTGGGAAGGTTCTCACTGTTGAGCGTGCCGCTGGGCCAGTGGGGCAGAGTGGTCGACAGCGACCCTCTTCCAGAGCTCGGCGCAAGCTTGTCAATATCCCGGGCCCGGCCATGGGGCGCTTGGAAGATAAGGACTGCGACCAAAAGGAGGCTGGCTAGCCATATGTCGTGGATGGCTTACGCAAAACAAATCCTGCATCTTGGCCGGGGGTTAGACTAGCTGGCCCTTGAACCCTATGGTTCTGCGACCTTGAACTTCATTCGCTGTCCCGGGGGTGAAAGTAAGCGGTACGAGCCGGTACACGGCTTTGAGCCCCGTCCTGGCAGGGCTGCTGATGGGGGGGGGGGGCAAAAGGGGCAGCTGCCCCAGGGACTAAAAGGGCCTGGTGCTCTTCAATTGCTGCCGGAGCCCCGTGCGGCATAGGCCGGGCAGCACTGAAGGGCTGGCTGGGGAGTCTGGCCCCAGCCCCCGCCCCTTCCGCCCGAGGCCACCCCCATTCTGGGGGCCCAGAGCCACCCCCCACACCTTGCCCAGGACCGCGGCCACCCTGCGTACCGGTAAGTCCTTCAAGTTACTTTCGCCCCTGCACTGCCCTGTGGGAAGCCAGGGCAGGGCGGTGCGGGGTCTGTGCCCACCCAGGCCTGACGGCAGGTGGGGTGCGCTCGTGGTATCCCGCGTCGCTGAGGAGACGTGGTACCGTGTGCACTACCCAGGGCTTCCTTCACAGCCCTGTGTGTTGGCTTATGAGAGCGGCTGGTGCCTTCCTCCTGCGCATGGTGGAACTAACCTTCTTCTCCGTCACAGGCCTAGCAGCTTAAAACCCATGTGGGCTGCACGGATCGAGCTCCCCAGCCACACCCCAAGTGCGTTTTCATTCATATTCTCCTCTTGCCGACCACCCGGGCTGCGTGTAGCTCAGATTGCAGCGTAAACGTACCGGACGCATGGGTGCTGCCCGCAGTGCATAGGAACGGCCTCCTGGGTTGGACCAATGGTCCATCTAGCCCAGTATCTTGTCTCTGACAGCGGCTGGTGCCCGATACTTCAGAGGGAATGAACAGAACAGGGCAATTATGGAGTGATCCATCCCCTGTCATCCAGTCCCAGCTTCTGGCAGTCAGAGGTTTAGGGACCTGAGCATGGGCTTGCGTCCCTGCCCATCTTGACCAACAGCTATTGATGGACCTGTCCTCCGTGAACTTATCTAGTTCTTTTTTGAACCCGGTTATACTTTTGGCTTCACGACATCCCCAAGCAATGAGTTCCGCAGGTTGATTGTGTGTTGTGTGAAGAAATACTTCCCTAGGTTTTAAGCCTGCTGCCTATTCACTTTATTGGGTGACCCCTGGATCTTATGGGTAACTAACAATGGGGCCGGGATGTCAGTTGAGCCCATTAGTTGCTACTGGGAGACTCCTGGCAATAGCCGCCCCATGGGGCTCAGGCTCTAGGGTTTGTTGTGGGAGGCAGATGGAACCTGCTGGGCCAGCTGATTGAGAAGACACTGGCGACCTGGCTAACAAACCTTGGTCGCATGCATCTAAGCCTGCAGTCACCAGCTGGGACTGACCCAGGGGCTTCATCGCCAAAAGCAGGGGCTCTGACCACCTGAGTCCTTCCCACTCGGTGGTAGCGGGGTCTGATCCTTGCTGGGACCAGCCAATCCATCACACTCTGCCAGTGCCAGAGATGGGACGGGAGATGTGACTCTGCTAAGCCGGGCCACGTAGAGGGATGAGTTAATGTGCTGAGCCCAGGCCCTCTGCCTGGCCATGCCAAGCATGAGGGGTGGCACCTGCTGCCCGGTCACTGATCCCAGGAGACGTCCGCCCTCACGGTTTCACCAGTTCTCCTTTCTCTCCTCCAGGAGGCGCACTTCTCTGAGGTGAATGCAGTCAAGTTCAGTCCCAGCTCTGGCGTGCTGGCCACGGGCGGGGCCGACAGTCTCATCAGGCTCTGGAACGTGGCGGGAGGTACGGCAACGGGCAGTGGGCTGCTCCTGGCCAGAGGCGTCGAATATCGCACCAAGCTGTAGGTTAAAGTGGGAGTGGCATTGCCAAGCGGGAGGGCGGCTGAGATCTCACTTCCTGTCTCAAGGGAAGCCCAGCTAGCCGGGTGGGAATACCCTGTCCCAGTGTGGATCGGGCTTGTGGTCCGCTGAGCTGCAGACAGCCTGGTGCAGGGTGGTGAATCCTGTCATGTCAGTGACTGCCCCCACTCCTGCAAGGGCGTTGAGTCCTTGATTCATCCTCCTGTGACCGCCCAGCCCTTCCCTGCCCCCTCTAACATGTGGGGAGCCTCACTTTGCTGCAGCCATGTCTGGGGTGGAACCCATCAGCTCCTAAACAGAACACAGCAATACAATTTAGGCCAGCAAAGAGGAGCGCGGTGGGAGGCTCTGGTTTGGCCCACCTTGTCATGCTGCAGGCTACGGCGCGCGCGGGTCGTGTCCCAGGTCTCAGGCGCGGTAGGAGGTGCACGCACGGGCTGATTCCAGATGGCGGGGGTCTCTGGGTCAGGACACTGCAGCGTCTGGCCTGGACTTAGCTGTCACTCCGTCCCTTGTTCTAAGCGCCTTCCCGTCAGCACACCCAGAGCCTTTCCTTTTCCCTTCCCGAAATCTCCAGGGGCATTTCAGCCCTGGAAACAGACCCTGTCCTGACGGCTGGACACCTGCTGCTCACCTAGGGCTTCCTTTCCTACTCCACTTTCTCTGGCAGAGCCATGAAATTCAGACCCAAGCATCCCCCAGGTCCCGGGTGTTCTCTGCTTAGAGACATAGCTATGTAAATAACCCCCATTACACAGAGAGGGAAACTGAGGCACAGAGAGGTCAAAGACTCTTTTTTTTAAAGTGGCCTCTGACTTGGGGTGCCTCCAGCTTCTGCGCCATGGGATTCTCGCAGCTGCCGAGCGCTCGCAGGGCCTCAGAGGCTCAGGAATTGGCATTGTCTCGGCAGTCATTACACCTCTCCGCACAGCCCCGGGGCTAATCACCGTGCTGTTTGTCTGTCTGCTCTCAGGGAGGCTGGAGAGCCTGCAGACCTTGGAAGGGGCTAGCGGCAGCATCACCAGCATCGAGTTTGACCCGTCGGTGAGTGAGGCGTTGCTAGGCCAGCCCTGTTTGGAGCTGCTGGTGGGCCTAGCTTGGCTGGGACCGTCCTGAGCCAGGATCCCGGGACAGAGGCAGCCGGGGGCAGCCGCAGCCCTCGTGCTCAGAGCATGGCACATCTGCCAGCTCTTCCTTTCTCTTCTCCCTGCCAGCCGCCTCTCTCAGCTGTGGGCAACCAGCTCTTCTGTGATGCCATCGGCTGCCCAGGAAGTGCTCTGAATAGAGGAGCCCCGCTGGGGTCTGTCTCTGGTTGGGATCAGCATGCACTGGGGGTGCGATGCAGCCCGCAGGAGCCTTTGCACGGCGTGGGCACTAGATGGGGGCAGAGAGAAGCCATCTCTTGGCTGGCCAGCGCCTGGTGGGCCAGGGTAGCCAATGTTCTTCAAACCTAGGCTTTCTTCCAGCCCCCAGCCGGTGCTCGGGTGTTAGCTGGCAGGGGTGGGGGGTCTTTCGAGAGCCTCGTTGACTCCATGAGCGGGAAGGGGCCGGCTCCCCCAGCTTTGTGAGCGCTGGTAGCTCATCCGGCGCTGTCTGGGAGGGTCAGGCCGTGCCTTTGGGCCGGGGCTGTCCACTGGGAGGTGTGTGAATGGCCGGGAGGAAAGCAGGGTTGGTTGTTTTCACCCAGCCCCAGTGGTGACAGGAATGTGTCAGGAGCGTCGTAGATTCCAGGACCACTGTGATCCGACCTCCTGCCTAGCACAGACCATGCAGCTCCCCGCAACTGGCTCCTGTTTGAACTAGAGCTAGATCCCTCCCAGTGCGCTCACCCCTACCCACCCCCTGCAGTGACACTGGTCCTGTGCTGGCCTCTGTTCTCCCATGGACTGAGCCGGCAGGAAGCGGGGAGGGTGGGGAGAGAGGGAGGGGGGAAGGGGCAATGAGGAGACAGGGCTGGCCAGGAAGGGGGCACCCCACAGCATGGGAAAGGGGATGAACCAGGGGACGAACCGAGGGGGAGAAGGCTGCAAGGTAGATGGGGCAGGATGCGGGGAGGCAGCTCAGGTGGAAGATCCAGGCTGCCTAGATGATCACATTGGTCTCCACGTGATCAGCGGGCTGCAGGCCCTCCCGGGGCCTCCTCACTCTAGAGAGGCAGCGGCTGAATCCAGCCTGCCCCGGGCACGGCGAATATCCCCACCACAAGGAAAAGCAGCGGGCGGCTTCTGTGCAGGAGTCGTTTGTCCTGGTCTCAACCGGAACGAGCGCCCCACGGCGAGGCACGGACCACGCTAACTGCACACACGTGGCATTGCCAGATCTCTGTGATGCCAGGTGCCGAGGACCGGTGGCTCTGTACGCCGCCGAGGGCAGGACTCCCCGCTCGCGCTGCAACTCCCCGGCCTATTCCTGTCAACTCCCTCTTCCTCCTCTTTCAGGGCTGCCAGATCTTGGCGGCGGCGTACAACAATGCAGCGCAGCTGTGGCGTATCGGGGACTGCAAATCCAAAGTAAGTGCCGCGGGGTCTTGTCTGGGTCCCTGCTTTTAGGGAGGGTGTGTGTGGGGGGGTGAATATCCCCTGCCAACCGGGGAATGATCCAGACAGCTACGGGAGATGGCAAGGACTGAGGGCCGCCAGGGATCGCCCCCCCGAAGTCGCACATCCGCTGGGTTATCCGGGGGTGGGTGTCGTGCCCCCCAGTCTCTCACAGCTCCTTGCCGATACCCTGAGGATGTTCTTGTGGCCCCAGATCTGCCAGGCAGGGTATCCTCCCAGCAGGTGGCCGCAGCTGCGTACCCGGTCACATGCTGTCGGCAGGCAGAGACACTTCTGGTCGCCCAGGAATACTTTGAAGATGGATCCTGTGAGCTCTCTTGAATTTAGTACGTGTGGGAGGGGCCTACAGGAGGCAGTAAACTGGCCCCACTCTGATCAGTCAGTGCTGGCATCCCCATGTGAGAGGGGGAAACTGAGGCATGGAGCGGTGGCGTGACCTTCCCAAGGCTGCCAAGCCCATCTGGGGACAGAACCCAGGAGTCCTGGCTCCCATGCCTGTGCCTTATCCCCAAGGCTATCCTTGCTGCATTTTACGCCAGCAGAGAATTTGGCCCTGGGTACCTGCCAAGGGCTTGAGACCATCAGGTGGTAGGTGCTGTGTGACTGCAGAGGGCCTGGCTCTGCCCCCAGCACCCGGCAGGGAACGAGAGCAGTGCCCAGTGGGTGGAGGCTGCGTCGTTCCCCCAGTGTGGTCAGTGGGTCTTCAGAGGCGGTGAGAGCCTGGCCGTGCTCTTGGGACCATCCCCTGGGGCCAAGCTCCCTGTCGCTGGTCGCCCCCTCTCTGCAGACAGGGCTCCTGGGGCTGAATGCAGTGACCATTTGTAACCCGTGGGACCTGTCTGTGCTGGGCCGGGCCGCCGGCAGCCCCGCACAGATGGAGTGCGTGGGAATAGCTCGCTGCCAGGGGGTGCTGCCTTGGCACTGGGTAGCCCCGAGGGATGAGCAGCGAGGGAACACGGCTGGGGGCAGAAGGGAATTCCTGGTAGCAGGGAGATGCATGCACCACCCTGTGTCCACCTCCCCTCTCCCCCCCGGCCTGTGCTCCCACCAGTGGGGGGTGGGTCAGCAAGGAGCTGGCTTGAACGCTGGTGCGGGAGGGCAAGCTGGGTGGGTGGGTGGGGGTCTTCTGTCATGGGAGGGGGGCGACAGATGGGGGAGAGGCAGGATTCCTGCAGGGACGGAGTCGCGTTAACGTGCCGGGCTGCCCGGTGGTTTTAATACCGGCCCTCCTGTGCCCGGTGCCCCATGCCTTGCAGCTGGCACCCAGACCCCGCTGGGGACTGCGCTGTCTGAGCCGGCAGCGACCGGCATGACGCACCGTGAACCCAGGGCCTGGTCCTGGGAGGAGCTGCACACTGGAGATCCCGCTGGCTTCAGGCAGGGCCGCAGGCGCTTGCAGCCCAGGTCCTCCAAGGTGTCTAGGCTCCTAACGTCCGTTGAAACCCATGGGAGTTGGGAGCCGAGATATCTGGGAGGCTCTGGGCTTCGGTGCCTCTGGGCGAGGCACGGGAATCCCCACCCAAGTCTGGTGCGATCGTTTGAAATGGTTCCCGGCCCCCCGGCCCCACTGCAGCTGCTGTCAAAGACCCCAGGGCCAGCTGCTCCGCTGGTGTAAACTGCGAGCACTGCGCTGATTCGCCCCGGTAGAGGATCTGGGCCGGGAAGCACACGGGGCCGTCTTCCAAGCCCCGCCGGGCCAGCGGCTCTGGGGTTAGGAGCGACTGTCTCTATTCGTGCATCTGTGGGCGGAGCCTGAACAAGAGCCCAGCTGAGCCTCCCCACGCGGCTCCCTGCTGGCATGGTGCCGGCCCCTCGCACCGCCCGTGCGTCGCCAGTTAAGCTTTCAGGGCTTGGATTTCAGCGACTGTCTCCAGGCTGCGCGGGCGGATCGGTCCCCTGAGAGCAGCTGGCTGGAGCTGCCCGCGACGTTCGGATCAAGGCTCCGCGCCCCTTTCTGCAGGGGCGGCTCAGCGCTGGGTTCTCGCAGCAAGCCGGCGGCTGGGCTCCCAGGGCTCGGTGGGCAGCTGAGCTGAGTCTAGAAAGTGAGGGCGTCAATCTCAGCAGCCCTGTTCCTGCTGGGGCGGATCGGGGGAGGCGCTTCAAGCCACGTTGGTGCACCCTGTGTCCTGGAGCCATGCGAGTCTGGCTAGGGATTTGTTACAACAGGACTGGCTGGTCCCTGGCGTAAGCTAGAGCAGCCTCAGGGCGGTTCCATCTCGCTCTCTGCTTCCCATGAAGCCAAGAATAGCTGTGCCCTCTAGCTGTGCCCCTGAGCCAAGGGCTGAAAGCAAGTCCTCCCACCAGCCAGGAAAAGGTTTCTGCCCCCTTCATGTCGTCTGGGGAACAGAAAGGAGCTGTAGTGTAACTAAGAACTAGGTCCCAGGGCTTCTGCCACTGCTTCCAAACCTAGCCCGCCTATGTAGGAGGAGAAGAAAGACCTGGGTGTCTTCGTTGATCACGAGATAACTATGAGCTGCCAATGTGATGTGGCCGTGAAAAAGGTTAGTGCAGCCTTAGGATTCATCAGGCGAAGTGTTTCCTGCAGAGACAGGGAAGTGTTAGTACCATTATACAAGGCACTGGTGAGACCTCGTCTGGAATACCGTGTGCAGTTCTGGTCTCCCGTGTTTGAGAAGGATGAATTCAAACTGGAACAGGTACAGAGAAGGGCTACTAGGATGATCCAAGGAATGGAAAACCTGCTTATGAGAAGAGACTCAAGGAACTTGGCTTGTTTGGCCTAACCAAGAGAAGGCAGAGGGAAGAGATGATCACTCTCTCTAAATACATCAGAGGGATAAATACCAGGGATGGGACACTAGATGGGGAGGCTCTGAGTTATTACTGAGAATTCTCTCCCAGGTGTCTGGCTGGTGGGTCTTGCCCACATGCTCAGGGTCTAACTGATCACCACATTTGGGGTCAGGAAGGAATTTTCCCCCGGGTCAGATTGGCAGAGAGCTGGTGGGGTTTCGCCTTCCTCTGCAGCCTGGGGCATGGGACACTTGCAGGGTTAAACTAGTGTAAATGGTAGAGTCTCTGTAACTTGAAGGCTTTAAACCATGATTTGAGGATGTCAGTAACTCAGCCAGAGGTTCGGGGGTCTATTACAGGAGTGGGTGGACGAGGTTCTGTGGCCTGCAATGTGCAGGAGGTCAGACTGGATGGTCAGACAGTGATTCCAGTAAGGGGCATGATGGTCCCTTCTGACCTTGAAGTCTAGGAGTCTATGTATTGGGTTCATTATTTGGAATTGCAGAGAGATTATAATGTTTTAAGTAATTTAAAAAAATCCCACAATCCATTTCAGTTCTGCAGCAATTCCAGCAGGGGGCAGCGTTGGGCTCTTGTTCTCCGAGTCCGTGGCTGGCTGGCTTTTCTGTAACAGGGCCGCTGTGTCTCGTTTTCCTTGTTTTGATTTATTTTTTAGAATTCGATTATTGGGAAGAAAATAAAATAAAATAAACCCCTAAACCCCTTCACATCCCCGGCTGTTCTGTTGTCTAGGAGACGCTCACAGGCCATGCAGACAAAGTGACGGCTGCCAAATTCCGCTCCACCCGCCACCAAGCGGTGACGGGCAGCCGGGACAGGACCGTCAAAGAGTGGGACCTGGGCAAAGGGGCCTGTAAGTAACTGACTCTGTCGGGCGTAGCGTCCTGTGTCTCACCAGCAACCTCCGCTGGGGGCGTGCCGAGTGTGTTTGCCCCTTGCTCTGTAGTGGCACCGGATTACTATTGTATTGCAGTAGGGAGGTTCACCGAGCGAGAGGCAGTCCCTGCATTAACGAGCTTACAATCTGAGTGGGGAAACTAAGGCACCGACTGGGGAAGTGACTTGCCTAGGGTCACACAGCAGGTCTGTAGCAGAACTGGGCAGAGAAGCCAGGTCCCTTGACTCCCAGTCCCATGCCTTAGTCCAGCGGCTGTTACACAGTTACGGCGGCTACCAGAGATGCCCCTTCAGGTCAAGACTTGTGCTTTGGAGCAGAAGGTTCTGGTTTCTAGCCTCAATGCACCATGTGGTTCCACCAGGACCTCTCAGGTCTGGCTGTGGATCTTTTACAGCAGGTTCTTATGGACCCTCTCTATGGTCTTTGTGTGGAGTCCTGGGTTAATAGTCTCGAATTGTTCTGGGCCCACAGCAGAGGCAGCCTGCCCTGTGTGTCTTGGGAAAGCAGGCTAAGTGACTGTTTTGATTACAGTAATTCCCCAGGCTCCGATCCCCATTGGGGCCCGTTGTGCTGGCCACCACGCACACAGGGAAGAGACAGTCCCTGCCCCCATGGCCTTACAGGCTAAAAGTCACGCCCTGGCCGGGGGGTGGGGACGTACCATCCTCACGGGCTTGCATGGCGATGAATTGCCTCGGCTCTGTTACTTACATGCAGTGGCTTTGTAACTGGGGCTAGCGGCCATGGAAAGACGAGGGAAAGGAGCAGCCACGGCTGATCACCTGACGGCCCGAGACTCATGCTGGCTGTGCTTTCCTCCATTGGATGGATGAAATGCCACCCAGGGAGAAGAAAAGTTCTGGCTGTCCATGGCTGCATGGTGCAGGCGTAGGAGGGGGAGTGTGGTCTCGTGGCCAGGGCACAGGACTCAAGTCGGGGGCCTAGGTTCAATTCCCAGCCCTGCCACCCACTGGACAACATGCTCCACTGCCCCGTGCCTCAGTTTCCCCGAGGGAAATGGCCTCTAGAGGTCCCAGTTGGGGGCATTGTCCTGGGCAGTGAAACAAGGAGAGCTTCTGCCCCAGGGAGTTCACACGCTGGGATTAGGACAATCTGGAGCAGGTGGATCAACAGCCTGGGGGAGGGGGACCGAAGCTGGCTGCCTTTGGGCTGCTGTATTTGCAGAGCACGGCAGGCCTCAGAGGAGGGTGCTAGGAGCAGGCAGCACCGTGGTTACTGATGTCCTCTGGCCCTCCAGCTGTGGCCATGGTGAGAGCCAAGTAGCCACCTAGCTAGTGTAGACGGTTGGGGGTGCGTCCCCGGCATGGCGGGCCGGTGCTGGGAGTTTCGTGCCCCTTGTCTTTACGCCCCTCGCCTGCGGGCACAGAACTGCTGGGCCTCCTCTCTGTGGGGACCCCCTCCCCCCGGGAAATCTGGGGAGCTGCCGGAGTGGGGGCTGTCACGCCAGCCCTGGACTTCCCCTATCCCTGGCTGCGGGTTTCCACCCCGTTCTTGGAATTCAGCTCCGGCCTTTCCAGCCCTGGGGCTACTAGTCACATTGCGATCGCCCTCGAAGAGCCATTAGATCAGGGCCCCGTTGTGCTGGGCACTGGCCAAACCCACAGCGGGAGCCGAGCCAAGACGTAACAAGGGGGCAGTTTGAGGGTAGCCGTGGTTTGGCCAGGCCGGCCTGAGCGGGGATTGCCCAAGGCACCGAGCCACCCAGAACCTTCTGCTACCTACCCCAGGTCGCAGCCCACTGGGCCCGTCCCAGGTGCGCTCGTCATCTGGGATTTGAACTTGGGTCTGGTGCCTGGGACGCAATGCGGGCCCTGCTCCCCTGTGCAGTGTGGGCCATGCCAGGGAGTAGACGGGTGGTGCTGTCTGGCACAGTACTCCCTTATGAACGGTCAGTGTTCTCCCTGTGGGTAAAGGGTATTCTCTGTGAGGTAGCACGGCCCATAGCAGAGCCCCCGGTGCCCTGGCACTGGCCCGCCAGCCTCGCCGCCCCCCCAACCCTAATCACTCACAGCCGTGCTGTCCCCGCAGGCTGCAGGACCATCAACGTCTTCTCCTACTGCAACGACGTGGTGTGCTGTGACAACGTCATCGTGAGCGGCCACCACGACAAGAAGATCCGCTTCTGGGACAGCAGGTGACTCCCCTCCCTTGGCGAGGTAGCTGCCAGGCAAGGAGCCTCAGCTGGTTAGGCCACCAGCTGGGCCCCTGTGGTCTCTGGCCCCCTTTGCTTGGCACTGGGGAAAGAAGCAGGATAAAGCGCCATCCTGCAGTTCTAGAAACACCTCCGTGCCCAAATTCAGACCTGTCTACCCTGGGGTCAGCTTGCCCAGTGAGGGCGCTGTTCATTCTCCCTGTTTCACAGATGGGGAAACTGAGGCACAGGCTAAGTGTCTAAGCCAGGGGCTACAGAGGGAGTTGGTGTTGGAGCCGGGGTTAGAACTCAGGAGTTGCTCGGGGGCCTGTGCTCCATCCGGTAGGCCTTGCTGCCCCTCAGTGGGCTGCTAAGCAGTTAGCCCCCTCCTGGATATTGTCAGACCGGCCTTTCCGGGATGGCCTGGTGGTTACGGCTGTGGACTGGAACTGGGGAGATTCCTGGCTCCCTGCGCAAGTTGCTCAATGTCTCTGTGCCTCAGTTTCCCCTCTGAGATCTTGGAGATGCGTTTTCCCTGTGGGGCCGTGGGTGCAGTCTGTTAATGCTCAGAGGCCGCTGTGTCCGTCCCGCTTGGGGCTGGGAAGTGGTGCCTCTGGGACGGCTCGTCTGGGCCTGGCCCAGGTGTGTGTGGGTTCCAGTGGGACGATGCCAGCTGGGGCAGCGAGGCGCGAAGGGGGGCCTGGCGCACTCGGTGCCTCGTCCCCCCTGGCAGCCGCAAGGGGGTGGGATGGGCAAGACGGCCGGCGTGCACTGCAGCGGACGGGTCACAATCCAGAGTGGCTGGGGGTTTGGCTGCTCACCCGGCATCCGAGCGCATCGTCTCCCCGGCTCAGCGAGTCGGCGCTAAAGGTGCCACGTGTCTTGCTGCCATGTCTCTCCCTCCCCTGGGCTATTCATACCCAGCGGGCTGCCCACTGGACATCCTGGTGGCTCCCCGCGCCCCATGGGGAGGGCTCGTCCGTTCCCTAGCAGCGGATCTGTCCGGGTAATTAACTCCCGCAATGGAGCCAGGCGGTTCCTAGATCAGCAGGGACAGAATGTAATTGACGGCCTCTGGCGTGTGGGAGTCCTGGAAGCGGGGATCCGAATGGAGCACGAGGGTGGTTCTGAACCATGTGGGTCTTCGGGAGCGGGCAGCCCCTGGCTGGGTTAACAAGCCCCTGGCCCGCTGTGCTCTAGGGGGCCCCGATGCACAGAGGTGATCCCGGTCGAGGGGAAGGTCACCTCCCTCCACATCAGCCAGGACCAGATGCACCTGCTGAGCTGCTCCAGGGATAACACGCTGAAGGTCATCGACCTGAAGATGAACAATGTCCGGCAGGTGTTCCGGTGAGCGGCGGACGGGACCCTGACCTAGAGAGCCCCGAGTCCTGCTCAGGCACCCCTCCTTCATGCCCTGATCTGTCCTAGCAGCTGCGGATCGCACCAGTCCTCAGGCTGCTGATAGGAGGGTGTTCTCCGGGGCAAACTGAGGCACGGGGGGGGGCGTGACTTCCCCAGGGTCACCCAGCAGGGCTGGTGGCAGAGTCGGGAATTGAACCCAGCTCTACGTCCTGCCCGCCCACAGCCCGAAGCACCCTCACTTGGGTGAAGTCGCCCCTCCAGAGCCAGTTGCGCTGCTCCTCCAAGAGCCTGAGGGGCGACGCTGGCCCAAATGGGTGATGCCACCCCAGTGTCCTCGGGGGCTGGCAGAGATGCTAGTATTACCCCGTCAGAAGAAGCTTGCGCCATCCTGTGTCTGCAGCTGGCTGCCCGGGGCTTGGAAGCCGGAGTGTTGGTGTCGGGTCCCTGAGGTTGCAGGGATCTTGTGTCCAAACCCAGAGCCTGGCCCTTTGCCCCACAAGCCAGCAGCTCTCCCCAGGGCAGCTTGTACCGAGCAGCGGAGCCTGTCCCCGCCCCGTTGTGGGTCTCTGAGCCCCAGCCCCAGGCGTGTCCCTAGGGGAGCTGTCGCCCTTCGCGAGGGAGCGATGCACGTTGACCAGGGACGGTTTGTGTCTGCAGGGCCGACGGCTTCAAGTGCGGCTCGGACTGGACGAAGGCGATCTTCAGGTGAGCGGGGGTGGGGGTGCTGGCTGTGCCTGGAGCTGTACACATCGTCGCGCAGGCTTGGCCCGCCCGCAGGGTGATAAAGGGGACACCTCCCACAGGGGGTCACTGGGAGGGGGATTCCTCGCACGAGGGCACATGGTTATGAATGGAGCTGCAGATCTGCAGTGCCAAGCCCTGCCCATCTCCTGACGCGGTCTGGGCTATTGTGAGCTCCGGGGTCAAGCAAGAGAAGGACCCACAGTGCCAGCGAGCGGGGTCTAGTGCAGGCACATAATGGGCAAGCATCCTACCAGCAGCCCAGCCAGTGCCCCTCGCCCCCCCCCCCCCCACAGACCCTGCTGTCCCAGTCCTGGGCCTCCCCACCCCCGACCCAGCCAGTGCCCCTCACCCCCGCCCCACAGACCCTGCTGTCCCAGTCCTGGGCCTCCCCACCCCCGGCCCAGCCAGTGCCCCTTGCTCCTGCCCCACAGACCCTGCTGTCCCAGTCCTGGGCCTCCCGGCCCAGCCAACCCCCGCCCCACAGACCCTGCTGTCCCAGTCCTGGGCCTCCCCACCCCCGGCCCCGCCCTCGCCCTTGACCTGAACTCTGCTCACACCCCAGTCTGTGGCTGCGTCTGGATCTCAGTGTGGGAAGTGTCTCTGACCCTGTTCTCCCCATCACCGCAAAGCCCAAGCTTTGGACAGGGTGGGATCTGGAGGCCGAAACGGGTCTCGTTGTTCCCCTTTTTGGGCTGTATGAACCCTACCCAGTGATTCTTCCTTCCCCCAATGCCTTCACCCTGCTCCTGACCCTGACCGGCGTGCAAGCAGGCCCCAGGTGAGCTCCCCCACCTGACCCTGGAGGAGGAATCCCAGGAACCAGGGGGAGCCCCTAGGAGCTTGCTGGCAGCTTTCCTCGTGGGCAGCTCCTCTCGCATCCTGCCAAGAGCAGGGCCCTGCGTTCTCCTGGAAAGCCACAGGGCTGCTTTCCACCGCGTGGACTCTTCAGCTGGGGGGTCTGCCCTGCCACTCCAGCCCTGCTCCCTTGCCAGTATCAGTGGCAGTCACCGGCTCTCCAAGCCTCCCATAGGTGGGTTTGCAATGGCTCTTCCCCGTCTCTAAGCCAGGCAGCTGGCTTCATGCTGGAGAGCAGGCGGGCCGGAGGAATCGGAGCCCTCTCGCCCCGGGCCGCTGATCTCCTGGGCTGGATCAGAGGCTGCTATCGACGTTCTCATCTCGTTAGCAGGGCAGCTCTTCGCCCCTGGGGGATGTGCTGCGGGCTACATGGGGGGAGGAGTGAGCCCATGGGCTTAAGGAACGCAGTGCTAAGCGGGCCCTGGTGGGCATGCGAATTTGACCTCTCAGGTGTCCCTCAGGAGCCCACCACTGTGATGTCTGAGCCCCCCTGCCTCCGTCCACCTAAAGCCTCTGGAGGTCCCAAGCCGGCAGCACCCAGTGCAGACATTCCATGGAAAAGGCCCATTGGCCTGGTCAGTCCCGCTCCCTGGGGCCAGGGCAGGGTCATCCCTACAGGGGTCTGCCCCACGCCGCTCCTGGCCGCAGCTGGCCTCCCAATGGGCAGCCTCAGGACTGGCAGGGGAACTCTGCTCTGCCCCGTACACGAGGTGGCGGGGTGGCAGGGCAGCCGAACCTGGCCAGGAGCCGGGTCCCCAGCTCCTGTTCCGTGTTAAGGGCACCTAGCCTCGCGCCCCCTTTGAAAGCCCAGTCCCGGGCAGCGGTTTTCAGGAGCACGGCGCCCACTTCTCACCCAGCACCCCCCAGCTTCCCGTCGATCCTGCCTGCGGTAAAGAAACGGCCGCAACCGGGCCTGCCTCTTCCTCAACGCGGCCCTCGGCTAACAGGAACGAGCTGGCTGGAGCCAGAGACTTGCCGCCGAAGAGCAAGGATCTTGTTCCCTCCAGGATCAGGCAGGCGCTGACCCAGGAACAGAGCTGGCTGGTTCATCCAGGGATAGCTACCCTCGCTACAGAGCTAGCCCCGCCTCCTTCCTGCGGGCTTGGCAGTGATTGGTCAGGAGGGCCCAGGACTGGCCAGCAGGGGGTGCTGCAGGGTGTTAGGGGGCTTATTCCTTCATCCACTCACTTCCCTGGTCCTTCTTGCATGAACAGAGAGCAACAATACCCCAAGTCCGAAGGTGCAGACAGTTCAATGTTTATTGGGGTGAGCTTCCAGCAAGCATGATTCCAGTTTCCTTCCTTTGTGTCCCCCTTCCCAGCTCTGACACCACAGAGCCTTACACCTGTGTCCCTGTTCCCATTCCTGCCCTTAGCCAAACATGATTCCAATTTCCTTTCCCTGTTCCCATTCCCCCCCCCACACACACACACACCCACCCACTTCCTGATTGACTGCAGACTATATAGTAAAACTTGAGTTCTGCTTAGCTATGCCTTAACCAGTCATTTTCCTGAAATTTAACTAACCAATCCTAACATATTGTAACATGATTATGTAACCAATTATATCCCACCACCTTAGTTTACACCCAGCAAAATTAATTATACCGCAGCCAGGGACAATCACAGAACAAGACAGAGTTTATACAGACAAACAATAGCAAAGTGGGAACTATAATGACAAAACAAAACAGAAATGAGGATTTCACATCCCAGCTATTGATAAGTGAGTTCTTGCCAGACAGGATGCTATCAAACTAAGTTTCCTTTTACATCTTCTAGGCTCTTCCCTTTCTCTGGAGGCGATGGGCATTATCAGGACAAAAAAGATTGTATTCCTAACAGCCCAATAGCACCTTCTTTCAATGTGACTAGTTTGGGATGTGAGGAGGTGACCGGTCACTTCCCAGCTTATGGCTGCCTCTGTTGCTTAGCCAGAGATCTCAGCCTCAGAACAGGACCTCAGACTGTCACAGTAAGAGAAGGCCCTTACACCAGCAGACCGTGATTTTGATTCTTTCTTTTATATCTCTATAACTAGCCAAGTGATAAGAATACCCCTAAATTCTTAAAAAGAAAAGGAGTACTTGTGGCACCTTAGAGACTAACCAATTTATTTGAGCATGAGCTTTCGTGATGAAGTGAGCTGTAGCTCACGAAAGCTCATGCTCAAATAAATTGGTTAGTCTCTAAGGTGCCACAAGTACTCCTTTTCTTTTTGCGAATACAGACTAACACGGCTGTTCCTCTGAAACCTAAATTCTTAGAGTATAGGCCTTTACAGACAGGTCTGAATATCTATATCCTAACACAGGGCAGGAGGGAGGAGCATTGGGAGGGCTGTGAGTCCCCCTCCCCCCAGTTGTTCCTGCCCCCTTTGCCCCCCAGAGTGCTGAGTTAATGTCTGAACAGAAACATTATTTTAGCCTTTGACATGGGGTGGGAGTTTGAGACTTGAGGAAAAAGGGGCCAAACAACCAGGGCGCCCTGAAATACCTGACACGGGAAGAATCCCTGGTTCAAAAGGCCAGAAGATCTGTTTAAAATACATAAATTCCCAGGATCCTTTGCCCCCACTAGGCTGCAACCATCTGGGCCCAATCCTGCATACATTCCTGGGTCCTCTGTGTCCGCCCAATCCTATGTATACTCCCCGGATCCTCTCTGTCCATCTTGGGACTGATCCCACCAAGCTGTGCCATTGTGGTCCCCATCCTGCGTAGTGCTGAGCACCTCTTGCAAGGGGCTGCTCCCCACAGCTACCCATTGTGTTTGTGGGACATTAAAGGCCCTCTCCCCCCCCAGGATTGGGCCCTTCTGTCTTACCTGTGGCCCCTGAGGCCGGGTGAATGGCTGCGGGGGCAGAGTGCATGCGATCGCCGTGATTCCCCGGGGGCCATTCCCGTCCCGCAGCGTGTGACAAGGGCATCCCAAGGCGTTGCTGGTTCAGACACAGTCTGTCCTCTCTGATGGTTTAGCAAAAGCCAAAGGACCCTGCGTTAGCCCCCTTATCTTCCCTGAGGACTGGGGCTTGCAGTGCCTCTCCGGCAGCATCGCTGCTTGCTGGCAGGGCCGGGGCTCCTGGAGCAGCACCCTGCATGGCAGGGAGCGATGGATCAGGCAGTGCATCCCTGCCCCAGCCCGCCCGGGATTGTTCCTGGCTGTCCTCCGGCACGTGGGCCGGTCCACGTTGAAATCCCTGGGGAGACTGTCCCTGGTTCCAGTGGATCGGCCAGCGGGAGCCGTGCTGAACTTCGGGTCGGTGGTGCTGGGGGAAATGGGCTGTGCCAGCTGGAGGAGCTCCTGTCTGAGCCGGCACAGCGGTGCCCTCTGCCGGTGCAAGCAGAACTGCGACCTGCAGACCGCAGGAGTGGTAGGCGTCCCCGGTGCGACACCTCTGCACCTGGTGGCAGCAGGGGGGCCGGACCCGGGTCTGTGGAAGAGCAGGGTCAGAGCCAGGACTTGATCCAGAGGAGAAAAAGTGGTGAGCGGATGATACCAGCTCCGGTAGCTGCTGGTGGGTGGCCACTGTGCAGCGGAGTAGTAATGTAGGGCCTATATTAGCCTCGAGGGGGCTTTGGGCTGGATGCCCAGGTAGCAGCCGGGCCAGCGGGTACGTTTCCACTGCGAGCGAAGGCAGGGTTGTAGCACGGGAAGGCGCAGCTGGGCTTGCTTTAATCTAGCTAGCGTGGGAGACGACAGCAGTGTAGACGGGGTGGCTCGGATGAGCAGTCGGAGCCTGCAGCCAGGCTCCCTGGTGGCTTGTTCTCTGTTTGCTAGCCTGGGCCACCATGCCCACCACTGCTGTTAGCGTGAGCGAGCATGCAGTGTAGACGTACCCAGAGGCTACCCAATTCTAACACTGTCGATAGCAGCCTCCCCCAGCTTGGAAGCTAGCGGCCCGTGTGGCAGCTGCTCAGTGAGCCGTGCTGGCTGCCTAGGGGAGGGTTCAAGGTGTCGGTCTCAGCCTCCGACCCCCTCAGGGGCTGGGGGTTTGGGTGATGAAAGGGTTGGCTCTCTCCCTGGGCTGGATGGGCACCGCACTGGCAGGGCCTTCTCCAAGTCTCTGTACATGCCCCTTCCACCAGTGCCCGCCCAGGTGCCATGAAGTGCCATTCTCTGACCACCCAGGTGCCATGAAGCCCAGGGAGGTGGGGACCCTGCTGATGGCTGGGGGCAGTGGATTCCCATGGGGGTTCAATGGGACTGCGAGCATTGTGAACACTGAGCCTCGTGAAAGGCCCCCCGAGTCTGGGCTGGACCCTCGTATTATCTGCCCTTCTGGGGCAGGATTGTCCCCTGCGTGGTCCGTTCGCTCCCACCCCCTTTCCTTCCCCTCCAGGCCAGTGTTGCAGGTTCCTTACGGACCCGTTGCCGGGGTCTCTCAGAGATGCTACGGCTTGTGAGCTGCACCCAGGCAAAGGGCCCGGGGCCAGGCTGTCTACAGCGGGGATGCTAAATCACCCAGCTCCTGCCTCTAGCTCCCTGTCCAGCACCGTCAGTGGCTGCATCGCACGCTCTAGGTGGATGGCTTCTGCTTGTTGTCGTGGCTATTCTGCTGTCCTTGTCTCCCACCTGCTGCTCAGTTTATTCCCTGGCTGTACTTCAGGGGGAGAGGGAGGTTCGTGAGGTTCTTTGCTGGTGCCTGTGGGTGAAGAATGAACAGCCTGGAACCTGGGCTGCAGCTACCCTTAGTCCGCCCTGGGCTTGAGGAGCTGTGGCCATTAGAGACTCTAAAACTCTCCAGCCCTTTTGGTTAAGCAGCAACCTCCTGCAGCAGGGAGTTCCACAGATTTGCTGCACTCTCTCGTCTCAATGTACTTCTCTGGATGCAGCTCCCAAACCCTGGAGTGGATTCTGTGCCCCTCTGGACTGGAGTCCCTATGTCATGTGCCAGTATCAAAGAACCAGCGGAGGAGTCTCTGCATGCTGAGCTTACACTCTTCTCTGTTCCTTGCCGCCCCTCTAGCCCTGATAAGAGTTACGCCCTGGTGGGCTCCTCAGACGGCTCCCTCTACCTCTGGAACATGGAGAGCGGGAAACTGGAAACGATCCTGTCTGGGGAGCACAGGTGACGCTCCGCTGGCCCCTAGGGCGGGTTACTGTCCTAAAGGGTCGAGGCTGCGTGCATTAAACCAGCATCCTGGGTATGGGGCAGCCCCAGAGGCATCAGAGGGTCAGATCAGGAGGGAGGGGAGCCTGCTGGGACTGCTCCCATGGGGAAGGAATGCAGAGCAACGGCCCAGGCGGGAGCAGACCAGGCTCTTGGGATACAACCAATCAAGGTGAATCTGGGGGAGTGGGCTGGCCGGGGCAGGGAGCCTGGGGAAGAGGCTTGGTAGAAAGGCCTGTCTAGGGCACCCCAGACGTTCCTGGAGGGGTCCACATTTTGGGGGAGGGGTGGATGGATCCTGTTGCAACCCCTGCTCAGCCAGATCCTGAGAAAACAGAGTGCAGGGTTAGTGCACTGGACGCTGGGGAGTTTTAGAGAGTGGGGGTGAAACTATTTCCACCATAATGAGTGTGTCATGGGGTCCTGACAGCCCCCACGGATCCCCCCCTCCCTGCAGGCCTCTGTCTTCATCTCCTTTCCAAGGGTCCTTGCGGGGGAGCAAGCAGGACCAGAGCCAGTTGTGCTGCAGGCCGTACTGTGGGATCCTCCCCATGCCCACATCCTTCTCCCCTGGCCCCGAGACTTGCAAGGGGCAGTGCTTTAATCCACAGTGGAGGCTTTACAGATCTGTGTGCTGGGTGATTGAGCTTATGCTGCTAGGAAGGAGGAGAGGGTGACCCAGTGGTTAAGGGAGGGGACTGGGAGCCAGGACGCCTGGCTTCCGTGCCCTGCTCTTCCACCAACTCAATATGTGATCGCTTAACTGCTCTGTGCCTCAGTTTCCCCATTTGTATAATACTGTTTCTTACAAGGTTATTTTAAGACAGAAGCCTTGCCAATATACCAGTGCTATTAGTGAAAGCACCTCTTAAGAATAATAATAGCTAGCTCTTATAGAGCACTTTTCATTCAGAGCTCTCCAAGAACTTTATGAAGAAGATTAATATCCCAGATGGGGGAAACTGAGGCATAGGGAGATGAGGTGACTTGCCCAAGGTCATCCAGCAGGCCAGTGGCAGAGCCAGGATTAGAACCCAGATTTCCCAACATCTGTGCAGGTGCTCTTGACACTAGGCCTCCCTGCCTCCATAGTACCTTGGGTAAATCAGGGGTCAGTTGGGGTAAATCAGGGGTCAGTGAAGCTGTGCTGGTTTATGCCATTCACAGATCTGCCTCCTCAGTTGACTGTCATACTATCTCCATCGTTCCTGGGGTAACTGCTCCTCTTTCACTGACGGGAGAGTGGTGTGAGCACAGGACTAGGAGCCAGGAACTCCTGCGTTCTACTCCGGCCCAAGCCCTCCAGGGCTTTGGCCAAACCGCTTAACTTACCCGTGCTTCAGTTTGCCCACTGGGTTAACAGCATCCCTACCCCCGTGGCACTACTAGAGAGCCCTGTATGGGAAGGCCGGATTCTTATTAGCGTCCTGTTCATTCTCCTTGCCTGTGTCCTTGTCCCTCATCCAGGGCCTCCGTGAATGCCGTGGCCTGGTGCTTCTCGGGCCGGTGTGTTGTGAGCGTGGACCAGGCGAAGAAGGTGGTGCTCTGGCAGTAGTGCTCAGCGTGATGCCGGCCTGGGGAGGAGTCCAGAGGGGACACCAGCCCTACTGTTCAGCTTCCCCAGACCGATGCAGCCCAGGGCTGCAGAGTGGAAAACCCCCTGGAGGGGCCGGGGTGGGGTTAGAAGCCGCGTCTGCTGCTCTCCGAAGACCTCTGCCTTCTCCAGCAACTCAGCCCCCGAACTGCAGCCGGGGCACTTAACAGGGCGCTGACATTTTGTAAAAGGAAGATTAGAAAACCAAGGGCAAGTTTTCTATCTCTGACCGCCGGAGCGGGAAGCTGCAGGGCCAGCGTCCGCAGGAACGGGCCTGTGAAGGGCAGAAATATCCACCGGACTCCGGCTATGGGACATTCGGGAGGGGGAGGAGCAGTTTGTGCCCAGCATTTAACCCTGTGGCTGGGGGTGACCTGCTCACTCATGCATCTAGGGGCCTGGACTCCATGGGGCTGTCCACCCTCCATTGAAACCCGCTGTCTGTGGGACCCAGGCGTGAGGACTCGGCGTTTCCAAACCTGCTCTGGAGTGCCACTCTGCATTGTAAACCAGAGCTGGGCCTCTCGGCCATGCTCACGCATCCACACGGCCCGACGCCGCGCTTCTGACTTGGGTCTGCGGCCTGAGCTGCGTCCACACTGCAGAACGATGGGGCCTGGAACCGAGTCACAGCGGGACTCGGACTCTGACCCATCCCCCAGCAGGGTCCGAGGACGCAGTCCGGAGTCCTTGCTGACCCAAGTCAGGCTCGCGTGTGTGGACAGAAGTGGAGCTCGGCTCCAACCCGAGTCAGAGCCTGGGCTCAGTGTGCAGTGTAGACATACCCAAGGGGTTAATGAGCCGGGTCTCTAGGCTCTCCTCCAACCCCAATAATCCACCCTGACCAATCGGTGCCTCCCACAGGTGACTAAGGCTAACTGCCCGAGGGGCAGAGGAGTGAGATCCTGGACCCAGTGCAGTCTGTGGCCAAGCTCCTGTTAACTGCAGTGGAACTAGGAGAGGGGGCTGCTTTGGGAATAAGGGATCGCCCCTTGGGACACCATCTCCATGGCTTGGGCAGTCATGCCAAGCCAAGAGCCATAGACACCAGCCTTGTGGGCTCCAGGCACGGTCCCTGGGCACTTTTCCCCTATTGTCTCCTCTCCATCCCTTCCTGCCTCTGCTAGCTGGCTCTAAACTGTGCCTGGGGTGGGTCCAATCCCCTGATCTGCCCTCTGCAGAGGCTTTGCCTTTAATGATCCCAGAGGGGCTGTGCCTGGCTCAAATGCAGGGAGGAAGGGGGCTGTGGTTGCTGATGGATTCAGTACTCTAGCAAAGAAGGCATCAAATACAAGGTTCAGCCCGCCCAGTGCTCGGTGGCTAGGGAGTTGCCCGCCCCCTGATTCCACACGGGCAATGGCAAAGCAGGCTCGGGGGGAAACCCGATCCCCTGAGTTCGGCCTGCTCTGCCACGCGAGCCATGGAGTTCGTTTGTCACCCCAAATAATCTTCGTGCCTTTTGAGCGTTTGCCGGCAGGGGGAGAGGCCCCTGCTGGGAGCGCAGGGCACGGCCCGTGGTGGGTGTGTGCACTAGGCTCATCCGGGTAGAGATGCCCCCGCCGTGTGACAGATCGTGCCATGGCTGTACGGCTGAATGGGCAGGGCATGGCCAGGTGGGACACACGTGCAGCCGGCTGCACCAGGCAGGTCATCACCAGTCCTGCTGCTCAATGTGCACCTGCCATGCCACGGGGCGGCGAGACCTGCCAGGGCACTTAGATACATCTGGCTAATGCCCCCCCAACTATGCCAGGCATTGGCCGTGTAAGGTTCCTAGGTCAATGGCAGGGGAAGGCCCAGTAGCGGACATGTGTCTAACCCTACCACTCCATATTCTTCTCTGGGACTGTAACGTCATGGCAGCGGGGTCCTAGGAATACAGCTTTAAAACACGGTCTGGATTTGTAGGCTGTTTCTTTTCCCCGGGCTCTAGCTCGCCGTTTGGTGCCCAGCCTCTTGCAGGAGAGACCCGGCAGCTCCACAGCCAGGCCGCCCACCGAGGAGTTACTCACAGCTGTTCTACGGGGCTCGAGTGCTCCTCAAAGGCACCGGTTTCAGTGATCCCAGAATTGACGTCCTCTGGCCACAGAACAGGCAGAGTGGGAACGCAGCCTTCCCCCACCGATGCACCTTAGCCCTGACCTAGAGAGATCGGGTCTCCCTGCGCTGCTGTGTGTGGGTGGGATGCTGTGCTCCACTCCAGAGACAGCTGCATTTTGATGGTGCTGCTCATCCAATGCTCTGGGAGCTTTTGCTATGGAAGGAGCCGTAAAATTCGAGGGGGTTCTAGTCCCTGAAGGGTAATAGCCAGCTTTGTGAAAGTGGTTCAGGGGGTTCGGTCATGAACCCTGTGCCCCCCCAGTTCAAATGCCAGGATACACTAAAAAGGCCCCCACAGGCAGAGAAAAAGAGCTTAGCGCTGACCATCCCCTGGGCAGGGCAGGTGAAATCCACACAGGGGCTGGTGATGTGATTGCTAGTGTCACGCATGCTGCTGATCCTGCGGGCTGGCCCACCTGTCTTGCTTTGCGGGAGTGCTGCTGCAGTGACCTGTGCACAACTGCCTTCTACTGGAGGAAATCAGTCATCCTCCACTGTGTGTCATAGCCCTTACACTGCTGATGGAGGTTCTCCTTTAGCTCATGAAGCGGGAGCCTTTGTCATTAGAGCAGGAAGATAAGAGTTATGTGCCGGCTGTCTCCGTGATTGTTCTGTGTGGTCGTGTGCAGAATAGTGACAACCAGCGAGTGCTACGTGCCCTGTGGGTTTCTTGCAACACTTTCCTGTCTTCTCTGTAGGTCTGCTCCAGTGCTGTGCATGTGGGAGCAGGAGCCAGCAATTCCTGAGCCCTAACCCCAGCTCTGACACTGGCTGGGGGCAAGTCGTGTGGTCTGTGTGTGCCTCAGTTTCCCTCTCAGTGTACGGGGATAGTAACCATGCTGCCCTAGCTCAGAGGGCTGTTGTGAGGATCACTGGGGAGACCACTTTATGAGAAGCACCGAGTGTCTTTATTAGGGTGGCAAAAGTCTGGGAAAAATTGGTGTGAGCCTGGCCTTGGTGGGGCCCATACCCAGCATGCAATGCTGCAGCACACCTGCCCTCCAGCTGGAAGACTGCTCATTGGCTAGTCGATCCCGGGGCGGAGCGCCTCACCGGCTGGATCTGCCAAGAGAAGCCAGAAGCTGGAGCAGGGTTAATCCCTTAGTGGACTCTCCCATCCAATGGCCAGCTCGTGAGCTGTGCCGTGCTAAGGCCAGCATGCAGCAAATGTGGGTGAATGGCAAGAGGCAGTGCCCAGACTGGGGAAGCCGGTGGTACAATCCCAGCTGTGCCCTGGACAAGTCACCACCATTCTTCTTGCCTCAGTTTTCCTGGCTATAAAGTGGGGGTACTTCCCACCTGGCAAGGTTGATGGGAGACTTAATTCATTAACCTCTCGATCGGGCCTTTGCGGCCACGTGATCAGCATAAAAGCCGGGCAGCCAGCTCCGGGCTCAGCTCGGCTGGCCTGCAGTGGCAACCCCTGGACCTGCTTGTTCCCAGCGCTCCCCGCCCAGGAGGCTTTTGGGAAGGAACATCGTCGCTATTGGAATGGGGCCAACAGCACAAGGTCAGGGCAGGCCGGGTGCGGGCCCCGCTGGGCTGACCGGCACCCTCTGCCGTTAGTTCCCTTCCTCCGGACAGCGCCAGCTGGGAGAGGCATCTGCAGGGGAGAGATTAGCCAGCTGGCCGGCTTGTCTCTGGGCATCCCAGGTTAGCAGGAGCTCTGCCCTGCTGGGTGCAGGGGGCTTGCCGTGCTCTTGCTTACATAGAGAAGTGGATGGGCCTTGGCTTTTTGATGAGCCAGTGGAACCGGGATCCGCTGATTCGGCACCTCCCATCCCTGTGGGGAGAGCCGAGGAGCGGGAGAATTGCTCTGGGGTTTGCCATCGTCCCGGGATCAGACCCTTGCCCCAAATACTAAACGCTTTCCACTGAGCCGCCCTGCCTTTCCTGCATTCAATGAACCTCGCAACCCCCTGTGAGATGGGTCCAGTTGCAGAAATGAGGAAACTGAGGCACAAAAGTCAAAAGCCTTTCCCCAGGTCCCCCTGCCAGCCAGTAACAGAGGTGCAAATAGAACCCAGGCGTCCTGATGGTGGGTTCCAGGCTCTACCCATTCTGTAGCTCACAAGCTGAGGATGTCTTACCTCTCTGCCTGAGACTGATGAGTGGCACATATAAGACAGGGCAGTGCTTAACGGGGTCTTCTCCCAGAGCCTGACTGTCACCCTGCCACGCTGCCCTGGGGCAGAGCTTATTCGGCCAGCGAGGTCTCACGTGCAGTTCAAAAGCTCCTTCCCCACCCACCCCACGGCTGGTGGAGGATCAAAGTGACCGCCTGGTGCGCTGTGCTGGCTAAGAGGGTTGAAGCAACCCAGCAAGGACGAGCAGGGCGGTGATAGCCTCTCTGGGTCTGGCGCCGGCCCGACCATTACCGGAGCCCGTGTCCAGGTCTGGTGTCCGCACGTTGCCGCAACGGGACCGCTGAGAAGAGAACAAAGCGGAGGGTCAGGGATTGCTTGAGTCGAAAAGATGCTCGGGGGCGCCCAGCTGTTATGGGCGTGAGGCAGCGGGAGTCACTGGGTGAGGGCTCCGGCCTGCGCTGGACAGGGGTTCACGCTAGCCACTCCGAACGTTCCCCGCTGGCCATCCCGCCTACCAACCGACGTGTCCTCTTCCCTGCCCGCTGGCCCAGAAGCCTGCCCGCTAGCCATGGAACTGAGTTTGGGACTCCGACCTGGACGATGACCCTAGCGGCTCATCTTTGCTGACGGGTGTTTCCTCTATCGGATCAGTGGCCCCTATTGAGGGCTTGGCTCAGCCAGCCCTGGCCTGCTCCTGCAGGTATCTAGGAACCGTGGCACCTACCAAGCTGGCCCGCATCACCGTAGTATCTGAGCGTCTCTCACTCTGCAGTGTATTTAGCCCCGCAATACCCCTCTGAGGTAGGGCAGGGCTGTCCAGATGGGGAAACTGAGGCACAGAGAGGCTAACGGCCTGGCCCAATGTCACACAGTGCTTCACCCTCTAGGCCGCACTGCCCCTACACATAAAGCCGTTCATCACAATGCTGAGCACTTACCGGAGATGGGGCCTTCTCTTACAGTGCAAGGCGCTGTCTCAATATCCGCGAACCCAGATTAATTCCGGAGTGTGGCACGTAAGGGGAGATGAAGCCAGTTCCTTCCCTCCACAGCCTCCCTTCATTTTCAGTGGTTGCATTTTAAAAGGTTCCGTGTCTGCATTTCGAATCAGCCCCCACTGGCAAAGCGATGGGGAGTTACTGCAAAGCAGCCCTTAGCCTGGCTACCGCTTTTGTTTCCAAGATGTTTGTCCCATTGGGGCGTGTCCTGTCTGGCTCCTGTTCCCGACCCTCTGCTTTCTCCTGCTCTGTGCTGCTGCCTTTTTTGGAAAGTCTCAGCCCAGCTCCATGGCCAGATGCACAGATCAGAGCAGCCTAAGGGTGCAGCTGCTTGCGGTTTAGCGGTGAATGGGATGGGGCAGGCTGCTGGGTGGTCCTTCAGATACAGGCTGCAGCATGGGCGAGGGGGCTGTTTTGACTCCAGCCAAGCTTTTGGGGTGCATGGCTCCCTGGCTCTGGAGTGGGGAGCTGACAGTCAGTGCTCCTGGCTCAGAGGAAAGCTGCATAGGGGAGGGGAAGCAGAGCAGAGGAGCACGAAAGGGGCTTGTGAGCAGCGGGCACTCAGGCTAGCATGTGGGCAGAGAGGCCCATCTGGGCTTCTGGCTCCCTAAGTACCTGTATGCACCAGGGCAGGTGAACGCCGCCCCCTCTTGGTGATTTTAAGCTGCAATACCTGTGGGAGACAGGGATTCTGGGAACGCCGATCAGCTTCCCAGCAGTTACACAAGACACCCGGGGTAGAGCTGGAGTGTGAACCTAGCTCTCCTGAGTCCCAGCCTGGTGCCTTACCCGCTAGGCCACCCTACCACACATCCTCGCTTAGCTGCGCCTTCAGATTGCCAGGGTTTGCCGGCACCTGGGCAAAACAGCGGCTTTGCTAAGATGCACCAGGGGTTCCTACCCCCAGCTCTGAGTAGCTCCCAGCAAGGCCCTGAACTGCCTGCTTCAGTTCATGTGCAAAGCGGGGCTAGGACCGACTTTAGCAGGGGAGACAAAGCCAGTTAATATTTGTTTAGCACTTTGCACACATCAGCTGCTCGTTGCTGTTCGGAGTCAATCTAATGCAAGGAGGCTGTTAAAGGACACTGTAGAATTCTACACGATGCTGCTTCCTCCAGGCGTCTGAAATGGACCAGTAACGACAAGAAAATGGTCCCAGCCCCAGGAGGCAGGTTAGAACCGAGAAAAATTAGCTCCCGCTTGAGTCCAGGGAGCCGGGAGAGTTTCAAAGGTGTGTTAGGGGGAAATAAACCCACCTATTATTACATTTTGTTCTGCAGGAGTCAAAGCAACCCACCGGGTGCATCGCTTTACTCTAAAGCTAGAGGGAGATCCTGGCAGGTCCTTTCATCCCCTCACAGGCAGGTGGGTTGCGATGGGCCGGTGGGCAGGAGAGGTCCTAGGTCTGTATCTTGAAGTCTACAGCTGGGAGCTGGGGATGGTTTGAAGCAGAGCAAGGCAGATAAAGCTTCAGTGACCATCCTTTTCCCCTAGAGTTCCTTGTTCAGTGTTTGAAGAAAGCGACTGACTTATTTTAATCATTGTCACATAACCAGGGGGCCGTAAGTTTGACTCATTCTTCTCCAGCATAAAGAGGAAGAGGCTAAAGCCGACGCCACTCATCCGCTGAGCCCGGAGAACTGTCCCAGCAGACGGAGCGCTGCCCGCAGAGCTGACGGGGCATCGGGTGCTGCAGCTCTTCTGCCGTGT